CGTTTATTTTTGAAAACAGGAATCAGAGTTTTCATGAAATCAGATCGATCGCTCTATCTTTGTCGCGGTGTTATGCATATACAAATAAAACAGACAAGGGCAGGACATCTTTTCTCATTTGAACGTTGCTTCCCAGGACTTAACTGAGGAAAAAACGTACATCGTTACTTATAACTGATTGACATTTGACAGTGGCAGAAAAATATTACAATACCACTTTTTCCAAAAAAAATTTGTTGTCTTCGTTGTTTGAAATGTACCAAACAGAGATAGATAAAAAAATGACGTCCGAACCCATATTATTATGTAAAACGATTTGAAAAAATTCGAAAAAACTTAAATATTTTTTTATCTTTGTTTCATGCATTTGAAACGACAAAGAGAAAAGATAAAAATAAATGAACAAACACATTGGATTACATTCTCTTATCACAATTTTTTTTTTCGATTCCAATGAATTTTCAATTAATTTCATTGGGATTAACGGCATTATGAAGAAAAAGAAAAAGATGTTTGTGGAATATATTTATCCTTGTCTAATGCTTCTAAAACAATAAAGAGAAAAGATGGCATCAAGTTTGACCCATTACAAACCCATTTTCTTGATGTTTTTGAAATAATAAAAGAGTACGCTATTCAATATCTTTTTCTGTCTAACATATTTGGAACGATAAAGACAAAAAATAACATACATTTTAATTTATTATTGGAAAACAAAACTATTATCTTTGTCTAATGTATTTGAAATGATAAAGAAGAAAAGTGATAGCAATTTTCCAAAGCCTACTTTGATCATCATTAAATTGAGTTTTGATATATTTTCATCTTTGTCTAATGCATTTAAAACGACAAAGAGAAAAGACAAAATTATACGGGCAGACTCATTGGATTCTCTTCTCTTCTTTTTTCTTTTGTCGATCCAACAAGGTCAGGTTTTTACTGAGTTTTTTTGGAATATGATTTTTTAATGTTTTCAACAAGTTCTTGGAATATGAAGAAAATATGGAAAAATTTTAAAAAAATTACTAGTTATTATTCGTCTTTGTCTAGCACATTTGAAACGATAAAGACAAAAAACAAAATCAATCATCTCTGTTTTATACATTTGAAATGACAAAGAAGAAAGATAGTACAAATTTTCCAAAGCCTACATTGATCATCAAAAAGGGAGCTTTTAAATATTTTCATCTTTGTCTAATGCATTTGAAATGACACAGAGACAAGATACAATTAAACGGGCAAACTTATTGGATTAAATTCTTTTTTTCAATCCAACAAGTTACGAGGTCAAGTTTTTATTAAACATTTTATGATTTTTTAAATGTTTTCAACGAGGTTCCAATGAATTTCAATGATCTCGTCGATATATTTATCTTTTTCTAATGTTTTTGAAACAATAAAGAGAAAAAATATTATGAATTTCAATGCAGTGCTTGTTTTATTATTTGAAATAGAAAATTTATGATCTCTGTCTAATGCATTTAAAACGATAAAGAAGAAAGGTAATAGCAATTTTCCAAAGCCTACTCTGATCATCATTAAACTGAGTTTTGATATATTTTCATCTTTGTCTAATACATTTGAAACGACAAAGAGAAAAAATAAAATTAATTTGGCAAGCTCAATGGATTACATTCTTTTGTCAATCCGACAAAAAATGAGTTTTTGAAATATCTTCATCTTTGTCTAATTTATTTGCAACGACAAAGAGAAAAGATAAAATTTAACAGGCAAACTCACTGGATTAAATTCTTTTATCATTCCTACGAGGTTTTTATTAATGATTCAAGAGCAAATCGTGGAATTTTACGAGTTTCTAAACAGGGAAATTGTCTCAACGAGTTTCTAACTTTTAAACAACTTTGAGAGTCAAACGAGTTTTTATTTATTTTGCAATGGGATTCAGAGGTGTTTTCGTTTTTCAAAACTGGTTTGAAACAATGTCACATGACGTCATAACTTCTCAGCGCGAGAATATGTTGTCGAAACAGTTTGAACTATCGAAGGTTTGAACCAATTTTGATGTGACGTCAAAAGGTTCATCGCAAGAATATACTGTTTTGAAGCAGTTTTAAAAAAGTGAACGCGAGAAAACAGCTATGATCTTTAAAGAAAAAGATGTTTGTAGAATATCTTCATCCTTGTCTAATGTATTTGGAACGATAAAGAAAAAAGATGACATCAAATTTGAAGATGAGAAAATAGATGCTCTTCAATATTTGTCTTTATCTTTATCTAGCATTAAGTACCTCTTTTATTATTTGAAAAAGAAATCTATTATGCATCTCTGTCTAATGCATTTGAAATGATGAACAAGGAAGAACACATCAAATTTCCAAACCCTACTGACTGAGAATATAAAAAAATGAGTTTTGAAATATTTTCATCATCTTATGATTTGCATTACGATGTTTGTAGAATATATTTATCCTTGTCTAATGCGTTTGAAATGATAAAGAGAAAAGATGGCATTAATAAGTTTGACTCATTACAAGTTCATTGTGATGTTTTTGAAAAAAATGAACAAATACGCTATTCAATATCTGTTTCTGTCTAGCACATTTGAAACGATAAAGACAAAAAAAAAATTTAATGCATTCGACTATTTCTCGTGACATAATCTTCCCAAAGGTTATGTTCCATTATGTTGAGAAATTTGAGGATTACTCAATGACATTTGGATTATCCAACATAATCTTTGGAAAAATTATGTTGCGGAAAATAGCCTATTGGCTCTTTTATTATTTGAAAAAAAAATCTATCATCTCTGTTTAATGCATTTGAAATGACAAAGAAGAAAGAAAATCCAAAGCCTACCTTGATCATCAAAAAATGAATTTTGGAATATTTTCATCTTTGTTTAATGCATTTGGAACGACAAAGAAAAGATTAAAATAAATGGGCACACTCATTGGGTGCCATTTGAAAATAACTTCCGGTGAAACCGGAAGTTGGGAAAGCTTGTCATAAATGCATAAAAATGGCGTTTCGTTTGAATATCGATCCTACCAAGTTTCATTAATATCGATATCGATAAACAAAAATGGCAATCGGAAACTAATTTCGTGGGCACCTGGTATATACATACACATACATATATACAGGGTGGTCCATTATGAAATAAATTTAAACACTCTAAATACCTGTAACATTAGTTACATACGAGGGGGAAACCACCTACCTAATTTTGTACACCAAAAATTCTAAAATTCTGAAAAATACTAATTTTCATGTTATTATTGTCCCAAAAAATTCTAAAAATTCTAAAAAATTCTAAAAAATTCTAAAAAATCCTAACAAATTGGGCAGGCTCTTGAGCATGCGCAATAGATGAAAATTCTAAATTATTTCTAAAAAATACTGAATAATTCTAGAAATTGCTAAAAAATACTAAAAAATGCAAAAAAAAAATACTGATAATTCTGAAAAATTCTAAAAATTCTATCAGTTTGTACAGGGTGATCTATTATAAATGTCGACCCTGCTAACTTTATCATTTGACAGAAGTGTCAACTGTCAATTAAAAAAGTTTTAAGAAATTATCATTTTTTTTTAACTAAGTTAGTTTTAGGCATACAGGGTGCGCCAAAAAAGTGCAGCAGTGTGAAGTTATATTTTTTTAAATGGAACACCCTGTATATTGTGAGCTTATTTGTTAGTCCCCTTACCAGTTCCAGTACCATACCAGATAATATGATTTCAACGATATACGGTTTGATATGTTTATCTCTCTGTTTATCTTCAATAGTTATAGGGAAAAACGCGAAAATCCCTTGCTAGTTCTCTCATGTTATTTTTTCAAAAATAATAATAATAACTGGATTTATTATAATATAATATTTCACCTTGTATATTAATGAATAAAATTTGAACAATAAACTGTTCATAAAAAAAATTCTCTAAAGCTTAAATGGTATAATTTTTCTTTTTTCAATATGAAACCTTGAAAGGAGTTTTCATGTTTTTCCTTATAAATATCGAAGATTGACATCAAATCGTATATCGCAGAATATGCAGGGTGTTCCATTTAAAAAAATATAACTTCACACTGCTACACTTTTTTGACACACTCTGTATGTCTAAAACTGACTTAGTTAAAAACTTTCGACAATTTATTGAAACTTTTGTATTTGACACTTTTGTCAAAAATATCAAATGAAAAAGTTAGAAGGGGGTGACATTTATAATAGATCACCCTGTACACCAAAATTCTAACAAGGTTTTCCGCTCGGGGGAACCCACCTACCAAATTTTTTACACCAAAAATAATTCTAAAATTCTGAAAAATGCTAATTATCGAAAAATTCTAAAAATTCAAAAAAAATTCCAAAAATCCCAACAGATTGCGCAGGCTCTTGAGCATGCGCAATGGGTGAAAATTCTAAATTAATTCTAAAAAATTCTAATTCAATTCTAAACAATACTAAAAAATTCTAAATAATTCCAGAAAATGCTAGGAAATACTAAAAAATGCTAAAAAATACTGATAATTCTAAAAAATTCTAAGAAATTCTAAAAAATTCTATGAGTTTGTACACCAAAATTCTAAGGTGGTTTCCCCCTCGGTTACATATGAAAATTTCGATAAATAAAAAAATCCAAAAGGAAATCTCATTTTTGGCTCTGAAGCTTTTTTCAAAATCATGACACGCTCATGAATAATTGCTCAGATCTTCGATGAAATTTGAGGAAATTGCCTACAATTATACATCATTGTAAAGAGAATTAAATTCTCTATAAGGCCGTGAAAAATTGAGTTTTGTAACTTGTAAAGTATCCAAGATATTGAACATGAAAGTTGAAATTTAGTGGACATTTAAATTCGATTTTTCCAAAAATTCTAAAAAACCTGCCAAATTAAAGTAATTTTTCTCAACCAACCATTCACATTTGTCAATTTCTTTGTTCCAGGAACCAAAACGATGCCCACGACATCCAGCTAGCAATGACCAAAAAAAAACCCAAATGAAACAATGAAATATCCGAACTTATCCGGCAACATGGCAGTGAGCGGTACCAACTCAGTAGACGAAGTCGACTCGATTTTTACGTCACCTTGCTGGCAAAATTCAAGTACCAGCGACTATATTGACCACAAGTTAATTTTGGACGGTACCATCAGCAACTTGGGTTCGGACAAGATGCTTCTAGACAATTCCATGCAGGACGACAATGCGGAAATGGAATCCAAAGTGTCCATGGAAGCTTTGGACAATCTACTAAGTTCTTCGCAACCAATGAGCTTAGCCGAACTAAAACCATTACCGCCTTTTACCGGATATACGGCAAACTTAAGTATAAACGGTATCCAAGGACATCATTATCATACGATATCGCAACGAGTACCCGAAGAGAATAACAATTATAGTAACTATAGTGAACAAAATATTGTGTCCAGTTCTACGTGCAATATCGGTTCGGATAGTGGCGACGAGAAACTCTACAATGTAGACGAAGTGGTGAAATTAGGTTACTCGGATTGTGTAGACGATGGCGGAATTAAAACTGAAATAAGTGAATACGATATTTCTTCAATAGACGATATCGCTGCTATAATTGGGTCAGCAATCGCTGACACTACAGTACCTAATAATAATAATAGTAATAACGATAATAGTGACGATCCAAACGCTTCCAGAGACAGTTGGATGGATTTGGACGCTTGGATCGACCAAACTTGTAACGATCAACAAAAAAACTCGATAATGAATCAAGAGGAATTTCTACTTCCCAGCACTAGTAATAACAATAACGAATTTAGTAATAAGCAACAGAGTAGTAGCTCGTCTACATTACAAAGCCTACTGACTCATCCCAACATGCCTCTATTACAATATCGGTTGCAAAATGGTCCTCCAATCAAACAAGAAGATTTAATGTCAGCTTCTAGTCCCCCAAATGTAGTATCTACAACAGACAACCTCCTCCTGACAGTCAATGGTAGATTCATACCCCAATACACTCTACACATGGACGACCATCGACTGCGCAATAGCCCTGACGATATGTTAAACTACCCCCACACAACAACCACAACTACTCCAAGCACGAAAAAGAGCAGAAGCAGAGCGCAAAAGAAACAACAGCAACAAGCCACCTCTACAGTATTCTCAACCGATCAAACCTTGGGGCTGTTGGGCAAAGAAAAACCTGTTCATAGATGTAGCATTTGTAATCGGGGCTTTCTGAACAAAAGTAATATTAAGGTGCACCTTAGAACACACACTGGGGAGAAACCTTTCAGGTGCGACACATGCGCAAAAGCGTTTAGGCAAAAAGCTCATTTGCTTAAGCACCAGCAGATACACAAGAGAATTGGTAGAGATTAGGGAATTGATTTATATTGTATGTACAGGGTGGTTGATTTTCGATAGTTTGATAGGGTACAGCCAAAATGGCCGAAGATACTGAGAAACTGATATACGCTTCCCGTCCTCTTTTTTAGTGTGTCATTTGATGGTGTAGTCAGATCTTGGCCAACAAGTTTGGTTTGCGAGGTTTTTCAAAATCAGCTGTTTTTTATAATCCTCTATAACTTCTTACCCTACGGAGATATAGAAAAAGTGCAAAAAGGAAAAATATACGTCTTTTTTCACGAAGAATCCAGTGGCGTACTTAGAAAAAAATATGGGGACTTTATCTTCTGAGATATTCGAAAAAACAAAGATTTTTCAAATGGAACACCCTCTATCTTATTGGTTCAGTATTTTGAGAAAAAAATTGCGAGTTCAACGATACATAACACATGATATTTTGTTTTAGTCTAAATGGCGAAAGCAACAAAAAACACTTTTTTCTACTGACGTTTCATAATAGCAACTTTTCGATTGTCATTTTAGTTTTGAAACGACATTCTTTTAAGCACTCAGTGCGTAAAAGTGACTTTCAAGTGCGTAAAAGTGACTTTCAAGTGCGTGAAAGTAACTTTCAAGTGCGTAAAAGTGACTTTCAAGTGCGTGAAAGTAACTTTTAAGCACTAGTGCCTAAAAGTGTCATTCATTGTTCAGAAATAAAAAACACACTAAACACAGATTTGAATTTTGTTTTGTATTTATTATGAATATTAGTCACCACCATGAAAGGTGTTAAGCAAAAGCAAGTGACAAACATTGAAATAAAATTGTGTTTTTTTATTATGAAACGCCAGTAGAAAAAATCTTGTATACAATACGTTACGAAACGAAGTCATTTAGTGCGTAAAGTAATTCACTTCACACACTAGTGCGTAAAGTAATGTCAATGACAGATGTCGACACTGTCAATTTGGCATTTTTCTGGTAAATTACTTCACGCACTAGTGCGTCAAATGAAAATTCTTTACGCACTAGTGCGTGAAGTATTTGTCCAAATTTATTTTTTTACACATATTTGATTGGTAGTAGAAAAAAATTTGTATGCAATACGTGCGTAAAGCACCTTTTATCACTCATATGATTGTCGCACTCGCCTACGGCTAGTGCGTCAAAATTCACATTCGTGAAAAAAGGTTCACTTTACACACTTGTTGCATAAATAACTATTTTGTTGTTTTCGCCATTTAGGCCAAAACAAAATATCATGTGTTATATATCGTTGAACTCGCAATTTTTTTCTCAAACTACTGAACCAATAAGATACAGGGTGTTCCATTTGAAAAATCTTTTTTGTTTTTTCAAATATCTCAGAAGATAAAGCCCCCATATTTTTTCTAAGTACGCCACTGGATTGTACTTAAAAAAAGACGTATTTTTCCTTTTTGCACTTTTTCTATATCTCCGTCGGGTAAAGAAGTTATAGAGGATTATAAAAAACAGCTGATTTTGAAAAACACCCTGTACCTCGCAAACCAATATTGTCAGCCAAGATCTGACTACACCATCAAATGACACACTAAAAAAGAGGACGGGAAGCGTATATCAGTTTCTCAGTATCTTCGGCCATTTTGGCTGTACCCTATCAAACTATCGAAAATCAACCACCCTGTACAACATGTGGCAATTTAAAGTTTTTCTCGGTATCTATAAGGAAAATTTCTATAACGTGGCAACAGTGGTAAAATTATAAACGTGATATCGAGTTTTTACAATAAGACCAGGCTTGGCAATAGTGTTCCTCTACAAGATTTTTTTTTTTTTTTTTCAATTTTTGTCTATTCCTTGGCAACATTGCGAAATAAAGTTAAAAGAAAGTATGTATAATGTGGCAACAGCGCATTTAATTTAATGTGTAAAAGTTTTACTCGGATCTAGGAAAGACGTGACAACACTGTATTTGGCCGTTAAATTTTTCTAATGCGCGTGGTTTTCGAGATACGAGGCTTCAAAGTGTATGTGGCAGGGGCATTTTTTAAACCAAAAGGCATACGTGTGTATATACACAAAATCAAACTAAGCTCAATGAATATTTCTCAAATTTCATACTAAATTTAACAGTTTCGAATCAGAATTGAATGCTCTTCAAGATGGAACAGGTTTGAATTCCATATCTTAAGTGGTTTTTGAGATATGAGGCTTCAAAGTGTACGTGGCAGGGGCATTGTTTAAACCAAAAGGCATACGTGTGTATACACAAAATCACTCTAAGCTCAATAGATATTTTTCAAATTTTATACGTAATTTAACAGTTTCGAATCAGAATTGAATAGGTACTCGTCAAGATAAAACAGAATTGAATTCTATATCTTAAGTGGTTTTCGAGATATGAGGCTGCAAAGTTGATTGCAAAATAAAGCTAAAAGAAATTTAATATGATATGTGGCAACACCGCATTTAATTTAATGTCTAAAAGTTTTTTTCGGATTTAGAAAAAACGTGACAACACTGTATTTAACCGTTGCATTTTTCTAATGTGACAACAAGTTTCCACAATAAGACTTCTAGTTTTCCATACTTTTTAACTTTTTAGAAAACAGTGTTTCTGTACAAGGAATATTTATGATTTTTTCCTTTTTTTTTCAACTTTTGTCTATTCCCGGCTCTTGGCTTAGCAACATTGCGAAATAAAGCTAAGAGAAACGTTTTACGACAGGTGGCAACAGCGTATTTAATTTAATGTCTAACACTGTTAACACTGTATTTGGCCGTTGCATTTTTCTAATGTGAAAACATTGTTACAACAAGTTTTCACAATAAGACTCCTAGTTTGTCATACTTTTCAACTTTTTAGAAGACTTGGCAACAGTATTTTTGTACAAGGAATATTCAAGAGTTTTTCCTTTTTTTTTTTCAACTTTTGTCTATTCCCGGCTTTTGGCTTGGTAACATTGCGAAATAAAGCTAAAAGAAATTTTATACGATGTGACAACAGCGCATTCAATTCAATGTCTAAAAGTTTTTCTCGGATCTAGGAAAGACGTGACAACACTGTATTTGGCCGTTGCATTTTTCTAATGCGAAAACATTGTGGCAACAAGTTTCGACAATAAGATTTCTGGTTTGCCTTACTTTTTAACTTTTTAGAAGATTTAGCAACAGTGTTTTTGTACAAGGACTATTCAAGAGTTTTTCCTTTTTTTTTCAACTTTTGTCTATTCCCGGATTTTGGCTTGGTAACATTGCGAAATAAAGCTAAAAGAAATTTTATACGATGTGACAATAGCGCATTCAATTCGATGTCCTAAAGTTTTTTTCGGATTTAGGAAAAACGTGACAACACTGTATTTGGCCGTTGCATTTTTCTAATGTTAAAACATTGTGGCAACAAGTTCCCACAATAAGACTTCTAGTTTGTCATACTTTTTAACTTTTCCGAAGACTTGACAACAGTGTTTCTGTACAAGGAAAATTCATGAGTTTTTTTTTCAACTTTTGTCTATTCCTGGCCCTTGGCTTGGCAACATTGCGAAATAAAGTTAAAAGAAACGTTGTACGATGTGGCAACAGCGCATTTAATTTAATGTCTAAAAGTTTTTTTCGGATTTAGGAAAGACGTGACAACACTGTATTCGGTCGTTGCATTTTTTCAATGTTAAAACATTTTTACAACAAGTTTCCACAATAAGACTCCCAGTTAGTCATACTTTCTAATTTTTCAAAAGACTTGACAACAGTGTTTCTGTACAAGGAATATTCAAAAGTTTTTCCTTTTATTTCTTTTCTTTTTTTTTAACTTTAGTCTATTCTTGGCTCTTGGCTTGGTAACATTGTGAAATAAATCTAAAAAAAAACTTTAAACGATGTGGCAACAGCGCATTTAATTTAATATCTAAAAAATTTTCCCGAATTTAGCAAAGACGTGACAACGCTGTATTTGGCTGTTGCATTTTTCCCATGTTGCGCAACAGCTTTTTTGGTTTAAGTAATAATTCTTAAATAGTAAAATTGTGAAAATCAGAGTTTGTTATACTTTCTAGAAGATTTGGCAACAATGTTCCTAAACCAATAATACAATAAAAAAAAAGATGTCTATTCCAGGCTCTTGAATTTTCATTTATTTTTCAATTATAACCATGTGGCAACAGTGTGCGATTAATTAAATATCCAAAACGAAACATGACAATGACAAGAAAATTTATGAAATTAGGCAACACCGCTTAGAGAAACCATAATAATTATAATTTTTCCGAATGAATATTTAGAAAGCCACGTTGTCAAATGTCTGTTTTTCTCCTTATTTCAAAAATGAGATTTATTTCATTTCTACGATTTCCATGTTGTCAGACTTTTTTTCCAGGTGAATCTATAAAAAGAATCTATAAGAAAATTTCTAAAATCTGGCAACAGCGTCCAAAGAAAAAACTATAATTCAACATTTCCTAATAAATATTTAAAAAGCCATGTTGTCAAATTTCTTATTTTGATTGAAAATAAAAATATCATTCAATCATTGCCATGTTGTCAGACTTAATTTTTAGTCGAATGTAAAAACTTAAAACAGTGTTGCTTTTCAAAAAAAAACATTGTTGTCAAATTTCAATGTAAAAACTGCCTCGTCCCTAATAAGAAATGGAAAATTTAAAAAATCAGGCAACAGCGCTTAAAAAAAAATAATAATTTAACATCTCCGAATAAATTAATAAAAAAACTACGTTGTCAAATTTCTTATTTTGATTAAAAAGAAGAATTAATTTTAATCATTGCAATGTTGCCAAATTTAATGCGAATGTGAAAAACAGTGTTGTTTCTTAAAATAAAAATAACTGTCAAATTTTATTTAAAAACGTAAAAAGTCCCTCGTGTTTAATAATAAACAAAACGTAGAAAATTTATAAAATCGGG